CAATGGGACAGTCCTAACTGCACAGAAGAGTTGAAGAAAGCTTCATAGAGATGGCAGTGTGAGTTGGATCTTTTGTTATATAGAAGTTTGTTAGGAGGGGAAGAAGAGTGTTCATTGACAGGCAAAGTGGCAAAGAAATTGGAGTAAGTGGGTAGAAGAATGGAGAGGAAAGTGTGGGGACATCTCCAATTTCCTGCCACCTTGTCTATAGGTATGACTATTTTTATATTGTAATAAATTGTGACTTGTTTTACAGACTCTGAAGCAATGAATGGTTTATATCTAGAGATTTGATCTGCTTATATTGCATTTAAGATTAAAGTTTAAGCATTATTCGTGGATTGGAGTCGGGTGTGTACTGGGGGGGGGCTATTAGGGAGAAATAACAGGACATTTGAGTAGTGCAAGGAAGAAACAGTTGAGCCTAATCTAAGTAATATGGGGCAGTCACTTGTCAATGAGTTTGGGAGTGAAAGGGAAGCTATTTTGAGTTTAAAAGACCACTACAGGAAATGTAAATGGTGGTTTAATATAATATGTTTGCAACTGAATTTACTCTCCACTGAAAGGAGAAAATTAAAGAGAAAAAAATCTCTACCTGTTTATGGGGGGGGGGGGAACGGACACATTTGCTTTTAGTTGTGAAACTGTCACCATAAGGGAAACTTGTGCTAATAAGTAGTTATATGAAAATGAAAGTTGAATAGAGTTGAGTTTTTATACAACTAGTTTAGCTGTTTCTTTTAAACTTCTTTCCTGGTGTCTTTTCTCATATCTTTTCAAGAGTATTTGTATTCTAAGAAAATCTGGATTAGTCTGCACCTGTCTAATGGGTGGAATATTGAGGACCACAAGCAAATGTCCAGGGAAACCTTTCCAACTCAATCTTGTTTAATTTAGCATTCACACCAGGTGCTGTACTAATCACTTCCCACATGATTTGGAAGGGTTGCTAGCCCACTGTCCTCCAAGAGATGCCTATCATGACCAAGGCACCAAGATTAGTTTTACTTTAATGATACTTTGTCTTGTACTTTGCTCAGTATTTTCATTTACTAATTTCATTGGTCACTGGCACATTTTTGGGAGTTAGAGACTGAGATTTAGACCAGTCTTTTATCCCATCTGCTTGTTAATCAGATTTTTTTTAAATCTATGGTAATATTTTCATTTTTTTAAGGAGACAGGGTCTTGCTCTTTCACCCATTGAGGGAGTGCAGTGGCGTAATCACAGCTCGCTGCAGCCTTGAACTCAAGTGGGCTCAAGGGATCCTCCTACCTTGGCTTCCTCCCAGAGTGCTGGGATCACAGGCAAGAGCCACTGTACCTGTCCTTTCATGAATAATACCTCTCATGAAGTTATTAACTAAAATTGCAATACATGGTTAATTAGAGAAGTTTATAAATGAATTCTAAGGAAGAGGTTGCTTTAAAGTAGACAAAAAGTGTAACTGTAAAGAGCAATGAGGCCTGGCGTGGTGGCTCAAGCTTATTCCCAGCACTTTGGGAGGCCGAGGCAGGTGGATCACGAGATCAAGAGATTGAGACCATCCTGGTCAACATGGCGAAACCCCGTCTCTACTAAAAATACAAAACATTAGTTGAGCATGGTGGCACACACCTGTAGTCCCAGCTACTTGGGAGGCTGAGGCAGGAGAATTGCTTGAACCCAGGAGGTGGAGGTTGTGGTGAGCCGAGATTGTGCCGTTGCACTCAAGCCTGGGTAACGACTGAAACTCCTTCCCTCCACCCCCCAAAAAGAGCAATGATAGCTAGTACCTTGGTATCCTTAAGATTTTGGAGATGGTATTTTTTTTTCTATTCTTTTTTTTTTTTTTTTTTTACTTCAGTGAAGGAAGGAGATGGTAGTGTTAGGTAAAAGGAATGTAATAAAATGGATTATTTTTTTTCATTTCATAAAAAGAGCTTATCAAGTATGAGTAGCAAAGTACATGTGAATATACTTCTGCACTCATGTTCCCGGTATTGCAAATTGTAGTTTTTGATTGCCTGCTTATGTGCCAGGCCCTGAGGCTTGGCGCTTGCAATAAATTATCAGGAAGCAATGTAATACAGTTACTAAACAGTCCAGACCTCTGCCACTAGCTTGTTATTTAACCTTCCTCAGCATTTTTCCTTATTGATAAAAAAAATTGAAAGACCTTACTGCTGCATGTGTAAAATTTGTGTGTGTTATAGGGGTTGCTATTATCTGTTTACTGAGAAAAGACATTTTTAAAAATAGAAGAAATCCTAGGCCAGGTGTGGTGGCTCACACCTGTAATCCCAGCACTTTGGGGAGGCCAAGGTGGGCGGATCACAAGGTCAAAAGATTGAGACCATGTTGGCCAACATGGTGAAACCCCATCTCTGCTAAAACAAAACTTAGCAGGGCGTGGTGACACACACCTGTACTGAGGCAGGAGAATTGCTTGAACCCAGGAGGCAGAGGTTGCAGTGAGCCAAGATTGCTCCACTGCACTCCAGTGTGGTGACAAAGCAAGACTCCCGTCTCGGGAAAAAAAAATAAGAAGAAATCCTACATGGTTTATTATTTAGCTCTGGTATATTTGAATATTATATACCACACGTGTACCTGCTACCAGTCAGAAAAATAGCTGTCACCTTGTGAAACTAGTGTGGTGTTCGTGTGTATGGTTCTTTCTTTTTTTTTTTTATTCGGACAAGTGCAGTAGTGAGAAGAGGGGAAAGGAAACTAATGTTTGAGTCAGTCTTCAGAAAGGTTTTGTGCTGTTTGCAAAGAAATCTTTGTCCTTTTTGCTGCCTATAAATGAAGCATAAGATTCCCATAGGAAGATACTGGATATCACAAAAGCAGGTGTATTAAAGTTTATTTTGTAATATTAGTTTTAGAGAAAAAGATGATTACCAAGAGTTGCTATCATGCTTCCTAATGAAGCAAAATTCATTTGTGTTGAGTAAATGGTTGATTGTCTGACTTCTATTCCATTCACATCATCTCTAATAATGATTTGCTAGGTGGTTTGGCTGGTTCTGAATAAGATAAGCAGTGACATAATACATTGCTTCCTGGAAGTTAAGCACACTATTGTCAGAAGATTGTCAACTTGGAATAACTCACCTGTTTTGAGATTTGTTTTTGATATAAAGAACTAAGTAGTTGATGCCTTTCAAGAGACACAAGACAAATATATTTGCAATTTATTTTGTAAGATTTTGGCTGAGGAGGTCTATACTTGTTCATGTAGAATTAGAAATCAGAAGTTCTAATATACTTAAGAGGTAGGGTAGGAGATAGGAAATGCCTTAGAACTGGCTGAGGAAAGCTTTCAACAACTCATTATATAGAATTTTGCATAAAGAGAAACCTGTATTTGAAAACCCATTTGGCAGTGTCTTTAATGTCTCCCTTTAGTGATTCCTTTAACTTTTGGCGGGTGTTGTGGTTCATGCCTGTAATCCCAGCACTTTGGGAACCCAAGGCAGGAGGATTGTTTGAGCTCAGGCATTCAAGGTCAGCATGGGCAACATGGTGAGACCCTGTCTCAAAAAAAATTAGCCAGGTATGCTGGTGTGCACCTGTAGTATCAGCTGTTTGGGAGGCCGATGTGGGAGGATTGGTTGCACTTGGGAGGCAGAGGTTACAGTGAGCTGAGATTGTGCCACTGGACTCCAGCCTGGGTGACAGAGGGAGACCCTGCCTCAAAAATAAGGAACTTTCACTTTCTTAAAAAAAAATCGTTACCCTATTTCTCATACTTCCTTTTTTTAAGCTAGATTTCTCAAAGATTCTTTTCTTAATTGATCATCTCACAACACCGACCACTCTTACTATTCCGGCTTGCCATGCCTCCTCATCAGCATTGTTCAGTAAGATTACCAGCGATAGTCCTAGGTGCTTATTGAATGAAAGCGTTGTCCGTTTTTAGCTCTCATCTTGAATTGACAAAGTAGACTTGGAAGCATTGACAAAGTGGACTACTTTTCCCTTAAAACTTTTTTCCGTGTTTTTTTTGTAGCTCATTAAATGCTAGGATTCTTCAGTATACTTAGTCTTTTCTCACTGTCACATCCGTTCACTCCCATCTATATTCTGTATTCTGACATTCCAGCTTGTTTTTTTGAGACTGGTCTCATTCTGTTGCCCCAGGCTGGAGTGCAGTGGTGTGGATTTCAACTCACTGTAGCGACTGCCTTCCAGGCTCAGGTGAATCCTGCCATCTAAGCCTCCCGAGTAGCTGAGACTACAGGTGTGTACCACCACACCTGGCTGAGTTTTGTATTTTTTTTAGAGATGCGGTTTTTTAAATGTCAGCCAGGCTGATCTGGAACTCCTGGCTTCAAGTGACCTGCCTACTTCAGCTTCCCAAAGTGCTGGGATTATTGGTGTGAGCCACCACTTCCAGCCTAGCAATTCTAGCTTTAATTGGTCTTCTCCACTTCTGAAACAATACAGATATACCAACAATGTGCTTTATACCTCTAATACTTACTAGTTAGTACTAGTAGTATTGTTTGAGTGTCAAGTACCATAATTGTAACACTTGGCTTTTTATATTATCCAATTAGATTCCTAGACTACATCTGTGATATCAGTGGATGTAAATTAGGGAGAAACTAAGGCACATGGTCATATAGCCTATAACAGAAATAGGAGTGGCACCTAATTCACCCTGGTTCTACAGCCCATTCCTAACCAGTACACTATACTCACTGTACATGTCTTAGGCTTTTGTGAGCCTTCTATTGAACACAGTAGATAATTCAGTACTTACAGATGGTACTTTTTATTAAAGAAACACTTCCAAGGCCAGGCATGGTGGCCCACGCCTGTAATCTTAGCACTTTGGGAGGTGAGGCGGGTAGATCACAAGGTCAGGAGTTTGAGACAAGCCTACCCTGGCCAATATGGTGAAACCTCGTCTCAATTAAAAAAAAAAAAAATTCCAATAAAGAGTGGTGTTTTGGGTGGTGGCTGTGGTGTGGTTTGTAGATAAATTTTTCTGTCTCCTTTTCAGATTTAGATGGTGCTCTACTCTCGGGGCCAGATGTTGATAGGAATGTGAATGCAAATTTATTGGCTGAAGCTGGCACTAGTCAAGATGGAGGTGATGCTGGTAGGTACAGTAAGATTTTAACAACAGTACATTAAAGATTGGGAAGTATCACAACTTATCTGTAGCCTACTGTAATTTCTCTCCCTTAAGAAGGTTCTGTCATAGGCCGGGCGCGGTGGCTCACGCCTGTAATCCAAGCACTTTGGAGGCCAAGGTGGGCGGATCACCTGAGGTCAGGAGTTAAAGACCAGCCTGACCAACATGGTGAAACCCTGTCTTTAAAAAAAAAAAAAAAAAGGAAGGTTCTATTATATATAAATACTTTCAATCTATGGTACATATGTTTATGATGACTTCGGAAAATTGGTAAATGTAAATGATGTTTCTGGTTTTGCATGTTTGAGAGAGTCATTTGTTTAGGTTTAAAAACTCTTACATATAAAAAGTAATTGAGTTAATATGTCTTGTGGCTTCCTGCTGATACATAGATATGGAACGGAAATGGTAATTACGATAATGGTTGAATTTATTTTAATTTTTATGCAAAATGATGATGTAGTTAATGGCTATAGAAAATGTTGATTAGTTCTATGTGATATCAGCAGTATATTGGAGGAAGCTCGATGACTATAAAGAAAAAGAATCCATGAATATCTTATGAATAAAAGAGTAAAAGAGAGGAAGTCATTCTTTACGAAAGAATGCCAAGCTGAAGAAGAATGATAGCATTGGAAAAATGCCTATTTTGCAACCCCCACAGGAAATAATTCAAAATCATCAGTGGATGTTAAGCCACTGTTAATGGACTTGTCCTCCTATGATTGGGTGAAAAGTTGTTGGGGAATATCATATTCACGTGGTCTCAAATTAGCATTCCCATAGATGATTTCCACTTGCAAAGGGAAAAGGTAAATTTACAACAAGGAGATCTGAGGAAGATTGTCATAACCAAGTGATTAAACTTCGCATCATTAATAATAGAACAAACTAAAATTAAAGGCTGGCTTATTTGATGAACTGCCTGGCACACAGCATTTCCTATGCAGTATTCTTGAGAAACTGTTTAGCCTGTGTCTAATGACAAAGGAAAATCCAGACGTGGATGTATATGACAGGTAAACCAAACCTGTCCCAACTCTGAAATGTTAATGGTAATAGACAAGTGGGGAAACGACTAGATAAAGGAGATCAAGTAAAGTGCAGCATGGAGATCATGGGATCAAAAAATGATTAAAGGGTACATTTTGGGGACAGCTGGGAATTATAGTATGTGTTAAGTGATAATCAATTGTACTGTGATTATCTACCAGCATGTTCTAGAAGATGTTATGAGCGTGCATGTTTTTAAATACTGCATAGAAAGCATGTATGTGTGTACATAAAAAGATGGCAAAACTAGTGTTTGTTGAAGATATATAGGGATATTTATTGATTGTTTCAGTGTTATTAGCTTTGGAATTCTTTTCAGAGTTGATGAGAACAGAGATGAGGCGCTTTTTAAAAGTTTTCATGGGCTCTGAATTCAGTATGTACTGACGAAAATAAAGCCATTTCTGAAGAAACTACCTTAAGGTGCTTGCCCCTGACTGTTTAAAAGAATTTACAAAACAAGTTTTGAAATTAGGAGTTTGTACGTCAGATGTGTTGAATTTTAAATATTTTATTTTTATTTATTTTTTTAAATAAGACAGGGCTTCATCATATTGGCCAGGCTGGTCTTGAACTCCTGACCTCAGGTGATCTGCCCACCTCCCCAAAGTGCTGAGGTTACAGGCGTGAGCCACCACGCCTGGCCTGAATTTTAAAGATTTTTGCTTGCACAGAAAATTGCTGATGTACTTGCTTTCTTGGTTTAGAAATCTAGTCCAAGAATGGGCTTAGTTAGGGGGTGTGTGAATTAATATGAAAAAATTTAAATTTGTAAACCTTTGATAAAAAGTTATTCCTCTTGAAGGGGACATTTTTATCCATTAGTATTTTTGCATCTGAGATCAGCCTTTGCTTTATGACTTTGATGTTAAAAACCTACGTTGCTTTTTCCTTAGTTTGCTATTGTGGAATAATGTACCCAAGAAGGATATTATTGATCAAAGTAAGCTCCATTTTTAAGTAGATGTATAATGACCTTAATGATTCTTAAGTGTATTGAGTTACAATGATAGTACCTTTATTCAGGCCACTCTTATAATTCTTACAAGTATTCTCTGTTAAAAGAATTAGGAGAGGTGAAATTTGGGGCAAGGTTTATTTAATTTGAATTACCATTTTGTATTCCAGATAGAGTGGAATGAATACCAAGGAATGAATTCCATCCATTCATTCTTTGGTATGATGGATGTTGAATCTTGGATTTTCAGTTTATGAATTGTTTTAGGGATATTCCATTTCCTTTTTCTGTCGAGATGGGGCCTTGCTCTGTCACCCTGGCTGGTCTGAATCTCATAGGCTCAAGCTGTCCTCCCACATCAGCCTCTAAAAGTACTGGGATGGTAGGCACGAGCCACTGTGCCTAGCCTATTTCCTTACTCTTAGATATTGTGAATAATATTTAATTGTAGATATTAGAACATCTAACGTATCTTTTGATACTCGTTTTCTAAGTATTTTGAGCAAGTCAGAAGTACATATTGGCATTTTCTGGAGAACATTTTTATTCCACAAGTAATTGGAGAGCAGTATATATGTCTTAGACAATAGAAAAACAGAGGCGAGGGATAAGCTCAGTTCTTGCTCTTTTGGAGTTTAGCTTTGTACTGATTTAGACAAGAAATATGAATCATAAAGTTGAAACTTTATTTAGAATTGTGAAACTAAAAGTAGGTTGACCTCCAGGCTACCACCTCCATCCCATTCTTTATCCCACACACAGAAATTTAGGATTCTTAGTACTTACTCCCAAACACTAATTAGGTGCAACTATAATGAGTTGTAGTTGAATTATATGTAACTATGGGTTCGGGAGGCTTTCTTTTTACATCAAAAACTGGTGAAAGTATTCCAAGTATAATACCGTTTTACGGTAATAGTAATGATGTGCTTTTTTTTTTTTTTTTTTAAATGGAGTTTCGCTCTTGTTGCCCAGGCTGGAGTGGAGTACAGTGGCACCATCTTGACTCACCCCAGCCTCTGCCTCTCGGGCTCAAGCCATTTTCCTGCCTCACCCTCCCAAGTAGCTAGGATTACAGGCATGTGCCACCATGCCCCGCTAATTTTGCATTTTTTGTAGAAGAGATGATTTCTCCGTGTTGGTCAGACTGTTCTCAAACTCCCAACCTCAGGTAATCCACCCCCCTTGTTGCTGGGATTACAGGCGTGAGCCACCGCAGCCAGCCTCTAATGGACAGTTTTAAAATACTTTAGTGACATTTTTACTTTGTTGGGTATTAAGACTTTCACCAAAAAGGAATCTTTTTTTTTTTTTTTTTTTAAGCCAGTCGAATTTAGCAGTGGGGGGTTGTATGCCAACTTTAGTGACACTAACGTTAATAAGTTCTGATAACCCACTACCATCGGACCAGCCAGAATCTCTTTTTGAGACGGAGTCTTGCTCTGTCACCAGGCTGGAGTGCAGTGGTGTGATCTGTGCTTGCTGCAAACTCCGCCTCCCGGGTTCAAGCGATTCTCCTGCTTCAGCCTCCCCAGTAGCTGGGACAACAGGCTTGCAACACCATGCCCAGGTAATTTTTGTATTTTTAGTAGAGATGGGGTATCACCACGTTGGCCAGGATGGTCTCGATCTCTTGACCTTGTGGTCTGCCGCCCTCGGCCTCCCAAAGTGCAGGGATTACAGGTGTGAGCCACTGCGCCTGGCAGGAATCTTAAGTTTTCTTAATTTTTAAGAGGGACAACTTGTCTGGGAACATATATGTGAAATGATTCTTAGGAAAGAAATTTGGGTAAACATTCTTTTACTTTTAAAACCATGATGCCCATGGGAGGAAAAATGGATTATTGCTGCTTGAGTGAACTACGCATATATCCTGGCAAGGAGTGTTTCAGGTAGGAAAACCAAAATGCTTTGAATTGGGAGCATGTTTATCATGGAAGACTAGCACAGAGGTTCAGTATGGTTGGAATGGAGTGACTGAAAGGGTGATTGGAAGTCATAGTTCCACCAGGTAAGGCTTTAGAGGATATTGAAAGTCTTCTAGCTTTTACTTTGAGGTGGGTAGTCTTTGTAGCCTTGTAAGCTGAGTGGTGACCTGCCTTAAGGTAGTGTTTTAAAAGAATCTGTGACTTCTCTACTGAGAACAGAGCAGGGAGACAAGTTGGTGGTGGCTACTGAAAACAGTCCGGGGGTAGAGCGCATGATTGATTGGATCAGGGTGGCAATAGTTGTGGAGGAGTCTGGATATATTTCTATTGCCAAAACATTCCTGGTGCAACAAATTACATTAAAGATGGAGTTAAATTCAGTGGATATAATTCCTGCCCTTGCTAATCTGAAGATCCTTAGGGACATCCATTATTCTGTTTTCATTCTATTTTCTGCACATTATTTTATGTAAGGATAGACTTAGAAAGAAAGAACTTTTACCGAATCTTGAAAGCATTCAGTTACCTTGCCCTAATATGTCTGAAACAACAAGGATTTAGTAATAGAACTTTAAATTTGTAATTATCCTGTATGTATGCTTTATTCTCAGTCTATGGTTCTGAACCAGTTGATCTTAAAATTATGTGCCTGTCCTGGTTTTGTAATAAGGAGAATATCCTATTTAACAGCTGGTCTTCAGGGTGATACAATCTTGAGTGATAGAGCAGTTAGAAAAAGCAACTCTTAAGAGTTACGGTATGAATATACCCATCCTTTAAAAGGGTAATTTCTTGTGGCATCTACATGATTAAATGATACTCATTTTACTTTCTTTCTCTTCCCCCCACTTTTTATTTTTTTGAGACAGGGTGCCACTGTGTCACCCAGGCAGAAGGGCAGGCATGATCTTGAATCACTGCCACCGCTGGGCTCAAATGATTATTCCAAGTAGCTGGGACTTAGAGAGCACACCACCATATCCAGCTAATTAAAAAAAAATTTTTTTTTTGTATAGATGGAGTTTCTCTCCATTGTTGCCCAGGCTGGTTGCAAACTCCTGGGCTCAAGCGATCCTTCTGCCTCAACCTCCCAAAGTGCTGGGATTACATGCATGAGCCACTGTGCCTGGTCCAGGATTTGTTTTTTTAAACTGAATTTCTTCTATAGTTGAATAGTATTTTGTTTTATTGTGATAATAAAGTACGAAGACTTCTCAATGTTAGACTAAAATACAGTTTTATTTAACTCATTATGAAGTTATAATGCTCATAGGATATATGTTTTCTGACTCTAATGAAGAGACAGATACTTATTACCATTATTAATTCAGAATTCTTACTTGTACTAGGTACTTCACATGATTTCAAGTATGGTTTGATGCCTGGTCCTTCAAATGATTTCAAGTATGGATTGATACCAGGTACTTCAAATGATTTCAAGTATGGATTGATACCAGGTGCTTCAAATGATTTCAAGTATGGATTATTGCCAGAATCTTGGCCAAAACAAGAAACTTGGGAAAATGGCAAGTATTAGTCAACTAAACAAGTACAGAATTACTAAATAACTGTTAACAATGAAAAGCTTGCATATTGCGTATTTATAAAAAACCAAATAGCAGTAGCTCCATGTCAATTGCTGTTCTCAGGGATAGAAATAAGTTTTGATAGCAAGTTTTCTATTTAATGTATAATAAGCACTTTGTTTTTTTGTTAATTCTCATAGGTGAATCATCTCTAATCATGAACAAGTTAAAATGCCCTCACTGTAGCTATGTAGCCAAATACAGACGAACACTAAAAAGGCACTTGCTCATTCACACAGGAGTGAGATCATTTAGCTGTGATATTTGTGGAAAACTGTTTACTCGAAGAGAACATGTAAAAAGACATTCCCTGGTAAGTAACTTTAAATACAGCTGATCTTTGAGATAAACGGTATTGATGTCAGTGAAGTTTAAAGGGATTTAAACAGTTAATTGTGAATATAAGGAATATTGTCTCTTAAATTGCTTTAAACAAAGAGCTTGACTTAGGAACTGATAATGAGCTTTTTACAGAGAAACAGTGGTATTTACTCATTAAATGTGTGGTTTGAGTGGGTCAAATGCATTCTACTATATGTAATAGCCTTATATTGGATTTTTCCCCCCTTCAATTAGGTGCATAAAAAGGATAAAAAATACAAATGTATGGTGTGTAAGAAGATCTTCATGTTAGCAGCCAGTGTTGGAATAAGACATGGATCTCGACGTTACGGTGTTTGTGTAGACTGTGCAGATAAATCACAACCAGGAGGGCAAGAAGGTGTAGATCAGGGACAGGATACAGAATTCCCTCGGGATGAAGAATACGAGGAGAATGAAGTAGGAGAAGCTGATGAAGAGCTAGTTGATGATGGAGAAGATCAGAATGATCCCTCTCGATGGGATGAATCCGGAGAAGTTTGTATGTCTCTAGATGATTAACTGGCCTACTATACTCCTCAAGGATGCTGCATTTGGACCTAATATGAATCGACAATTTGGATTGTTGAACTTGAAGGCTTGCAAAATAATGGTACATGCTGGATAGTAGTTATGTTGCTGTGAAAACTGTAGGGTCAAAGCCTTATAGCAAAAAAATTTTTTTTTTTTAATATTTGCACAGGACTATACAGCAGACAACCATGTGGTTGGATTACATGGAGTCCCCACATACTCAGTCAGTTATCAAAGTAAAATATTTTTTATTTATATGATATACAGTAACTATTTGGGTCCTATGAAAATAATCCTTAAAGAGCTTACATTCATGTGCTACTTTAACATGAGTGGAGAAAATCCATTTATGGAAGTACAGTGACAATTGACCCAATCACTTTGTCCATCAAACCACTCAGGCTAGTTTGTACTAGTAGAGTTTTGTTTCTATTTTTATTTTTATTAATTTTATTTTTTTTAATACAGATTTTCATTGTGGGGCTTTTTCAACCCCATTGGTTCTATTTTCTTGTATTTTTCCATTTTAATTTGCTTCATAACTTAAACCAAGTCTCTTCTAGTCTTAGGTATTATTTCTCAATTTTGTGCTGATGGGCATGTTTATAAGAACTGGAGAGGTAATTTATTGGAATGAATTAACTGACTTCCTCCGTTTCCCCCCTTCCTTTCTGACATGAATTTTACTACTTCACAAATGAAGAATGATGTTATGAAGTTACCGTGGTGAAGTTGACAAATACCACTAAAATGATTATGATTTAGAAGTAACTTTCTTCTGCTGCTCTAATCTGATAAATGGTTACTATAATGTTTTCTGACATGGTATTCGGTTTTGGGTATCTGTTACTTTGGCACTATTCTTGTTTGCCTCTTTATTTTTGCCAGTGTACTATACCTCAGCCCTATTCGAAAGGCCTAATTAAAAGAAAAATCATAGACATAATTAAAATGATTTGTTTTATAATTTATCCACCATGTCCAGTTTGGTTAGCTTGTTATGCAATATGAGTGAAATATCAGGTTTTTACCCCTGTGTCTTTTTTGTCATTAAAATTAACACAAAATGTGCATTCTCTTATTGTTTTATACTTATTGGGATATTGTTTGGAAATTATGATCAATAACTTATTTTTTCCTGTTCCTTGAAGTCACTCACCTTGATACAGTCTTCATAGTAGTCACAATGTTTCAACAAGTCTCAGAAATCATACAAATAAAATACTGAGAAGCTTTATTATTCTCTAAACTAAATTCTTCAGGGTACAAAGGGGTGACATTGAGGTGAAATTGTCAGATTTACTTAGTCTGGTGACATGAATTAGCTGATTGTGGAACTCTCAGCAGCATTTCACATATTAACATGTATGACATTATGAGCATATTGTATATTATATAAGATTGAGGGATGTCATATTTTCAGCTTTCTTTTAAATAAAAATTGAGTATATTTTCCTATTTTATATCAGGTAACTAAATTATGCTAGTTATGTGGGAAAAAAATTGCAAAGATGCTTTGACAGATATATAATCCCTTTGGTGCTCCATCTGATCAAAGTTGAAAAGTTGATGTTTTTTAAGAGACAAGCTTTACCATTGTCTCTGATTTCAGTAGAATAATGGTTTATTGTTAGACAGTGATGTTTCTGCTTGGATAAATCAAAGATAAATTACAGTTACATGGTTAGATGCAGCTTTTGTCATCTGTATTGTAGTTTCTACATAACTGTAAACCTGACAGATACAAATAGTTTCAGTTTGATTTTTGTTTAAAACGGATGAGTACATCTTAATGTTCTAGACAAATGAGTAAAATGTATTTCTGGTAGAAATTAGTTGGGCAAAGATACTATGAATGAAAAAGTATTTTAAACGTAAAATGTTCTTTGTGAATATGTAAGTATAGTATAAAGACTTCTTTCATCCCATTTATCCCCTTCCTTTAAATAAACTAGTTTACAATTGGTAGATCTGTCTATATATAAATATATATTAAAGAAAAAGATATATATCTAAAAATCACCTAAATCTGCTTTATTAGACTACAGTTCACTTATTGCATAGAAACTGGACTTGGCTTTATATTCTTAATGTACTTTTACTTTTCCTCAGAATATGAACTTATTCTCTTGAAGCTGAATTTCTTTTACTACTTAAATCATTTATGTATATCTGGTAAATTATGACCAAATTTTTGTTAGATTGCATATAGTAAATTGAAATACACACTTGGTACACTACGGGATTGTTGTGCTTTTGTTTGGTTTTAGTTGGAAATAAGGTTTGATGTAGATGGCTTGTTACTGTTAATTTAAAATATTCTATAATTGTCCATTACCTTTTATGTTGTGTTGTGACAGATTTGGCTATATTTTTAGTCAATTGAAATATGATACTTTAAAAAGTTTGTTTTTTAGGTAATCCAAAGGAAAAGTGTTTATACTCTTGATTATATTAGCCTCAGCCTATTAAATTTCTTTGAAGTAAACATTTTACCAGAAACAGAATTGACAGATTTTTCTACTTGCTGACTGCCTAACTTATTTTGTTTCATGATCTTGAGGGACTGCCTTTTCCCATCTAGATCTTTTTAAAAATAGTTTTAGTACTAAGGTATACTACTGGACATTTCTATTTTTTTAAGTATATTCTTTTTCTGACTTACAGTACAATTTCAGGAAGTTGATAGATACCAAGAACTTAAGATTGGTCTCAGAGGTAACAATGGAATATTCACAATTTTGTCTGTGGATCTCTGCCAGAATTACGTTAACATTTGGCGAAGTTATCTCTTGTAATTTATATTTTAAATGAAAGTATTTTAGAGCTTTTAATTTTAATGAAGGAGAAGAGTATAAAACTTTCTTTCATATTAACTGTAGTTACAGACTATCTTATAAATCAACATCGTGCATTATTTCTTAGAGTTCTCAGAGAAAGATACTTCCCTGTTCATTTTTGTTATTTACTAGGTATTTTGCTAAATTTAGCACACTAGGAATTAAGAGTTTTAAAAAGAAACATAGGAAGGGTAAACTGAGCAGTAATGAGTAGCTCTGAAATTGGGGGAAAACACTAGCTGGGTTAGTCACAGCCATCCTAATAATGGAGAAGCGTAAGCTAAATGAGTTAATTCACGTAAAGTGCTTAGAACACTGGTACATAGTAGGTACATAACACATCTTAAAGTTGTTTAGTAATAAGAACCAAGAGGAAAGAAACGATAAAAAAAAAAAAAAAAAAAGGCGGGGGGGAAGGAAGGAGAAAATGGGAAATGAAAGGATTGGGACTTGGGCATTTATATGAACAGAAAATGGTATAAACGGCCTGAATATGACTGGAATAGTATCATGGGGGAATGTGTGATGGAAAATAGGTTTTAAAAAATCTTAAATTTTGAAACTTAAGCATTATTTATATTTTTTAGGATTTTGTGAACATAGCATGAAGGGTTTAGATTCATTTTTCTGAAAATGATTCAAAAAATTACCACTTTTTTTTTTTTCCAGTGCCACACTTGCCGTTGTGCTGTATACATGATTTTACCTTAATTTTCTATAAGGTAGGTGCTAATTGTCTCCATTTTATAGAGAAAAGACTCAGAGAAATTCAGAAACTTGGCTAATTTAACACAGCTGTGATAGAGCTGGGATTTGACCACGTGTGATTCTGCACTCGATCTTAGCCAAAAGGTTGAGTAGCGATCCACATCTGATTCTGAAGCCCGTACTCTTTAAAGGAGGCTCTATTGCTGCCTCATTATAAACAACTCTTGTAGAATTTCAGCTTTTAAAGGAGTCTGTCTATGGATTTATATATTTCCTATAAGACAGCTGTGTTTAGAATTTTGGGTGTCTTTTCTCCCCCCAACAAATTTCCTTACTACTACTCTTTCCTCATAAAGCAGTCGTTTTGTCACTTTGACTATATTAAGACACATCAGTGTAGCACATGCTCTTAACCGGCTGTGGCATTTTAATTTTATAAAAGAATGATTTTTTATCTGAAGAACTAGATATAAACCCCAGTCTTTGTGCCGTTCAGTCACCCAGATCCTTAAACTTAACTACGGTACATAATTTCCACACTTAGAACTAACAGGTGTTTAGTCACTTTAGGACTTAAAATGGAAAGTTTTTTTTTTTTTCCTGCTGTATCCCTGCTTTCAACTGAAGTTGAAGAATTCTAGATAGTTTAAAATGTGTTAGGGATAAGCACACTTCAAAAGATGTTTTCTAGCCCTGAATTTTATGACATTGGGTACTTAAATTTGAAGTACACTAGCTATTGAGAACAGTATTTTGGGTTGAGAGCAATGGTTGAGGCCATTATGTAGTGGGAGAATCAGCATTTTGAACACTGTAAACATAAAAGAACACTTCTGCCTGCTGTTTGTAAAAGCTCTTTGGGAAGCTCTTTGGGAAGATCTTTTACGAAGACCAACTTTTTAAAATGTAAATTACCTACCTAATATAAGTGTCCTAAGACATGTATGTAAACTTCCGAAACTGTTTTGTTTGTGTATTTAGAAAATACACAGGAATCTTTATCAAACCTAAAAATATAAACTTGTGAGCACTAAACTGCTTCTGGCTTTGTGAATTTTATTGACTGACATTTAATTCAGATTTCTTTGCAAGTGTACTGATTTAGACTAACTGGGGTAAGGGGAACACCTTGATGAACTTTGACTTACGTATAATTCAGATATCTTTGTACTTCGGGCTTACAAGTTTGAATTATAGAATAAGGGTTTGTTTTTCTTTTTTGTATGTTTTTATATGAAAATACGTAAATGACAAACTACCTCCAAGTAATCCTGCTTTAATTAACAGTGGTGATTTGTAGTCAGTATCTTTTAAGATACTCTACAAGTTTTAGGAAATATTAGAAATTCCCCTGTAATTTACATTTGTGCATAATCTTGGAAATGGGTTGAAAAGCAAAGGTAAACTGCTTCATCCCATGTTGTATATTTGTGGACCGATTGACTACAGGTAATTCTGTGATGTTATAAAGTCTTCGAAACTTTATTAATGTAGAGAAAACAGCTTTTTAGGTTGTTTCAAAGCTAGAGCAAAGGAAATTAGAAGTGGCCAGATATTCAGACTTTACGTCGAAAAATAGGAGTTCTTTGATTTTGTTTGGAGAAGGGCGTGATAAAGGGAGCCCACACAGCATTATAACGCCTAGTATTTTTAAACATGGGAAGAGCTGTCATGAGGCATGAGTAAGTAAGAGTACTTAACTCTGTGTTTCTAAGAGGTCATGATTGGGAACATTGGCTCAAGATTTAAAAGTGGTTTTTAATTATCCAAAGTTGAAATGGGGCTGCTTCAGAAAATGGTCTACCACTCTACATAAAGTGAAAGAGATTACTTTTTGGCTACGACAGTATGACCAAACATTTCTATTTTAGAGTTGGGTTTGTGTTTAGTTTCTTTAGGTCTTGGGACCCTTGTAGTTACTTTTTGTTTTGCTTAGTCAACAAAATTTTAAAACTATAAAATTTTGTATTTATAAGTACTGGATGAAGGATGTTTTGATACTAAAAGACATAATTTAGGAAATCAAGAATTTAGATACCAAGTTTAGCTTAATAGAAAAAAATCAGTACCTGAGATACTTTTTCACCACAAATAACCACAGACCATTGTTTGGGAACAGGTGTAGGAAACTGAATTGTTGGATCTATGTTTAGATAAGAAAATTAAAGGTACTTCAGAATTTAGGCTGTGATATAACTTTCTGAAGTTTAAAGAAAGTGAACTATAGGAAATCTATTCAGCTAATATAAAGTGAATGAAAAATATTACAGATTGAATAACTGCATGGCACCTTACTTGCTATTAATACTGCCGCCTTACTGTCAGCCAGATTTATTTTTTCCCACCACGACCAGTCAAATAAGAAAAAGCTAATCTTCCAAGTGTAATTAGGTATGTGTTAGCTTAGTGGAAGCTAAACAAGACAGTCTTCTTAGCACAGGTCGTAACAGTTGGTGAGATAATACATAAAATGGTTTCAAGATTATTGCAGAATCATTTAGGTTGAAAGAGGTTGTAAGAGACTAATGAAGCATACCCAGAGAGGCTGCTACAGTGACTCCAGTCAGTTTTAGAACCCAGGGGACTCCTGAACTTCCATTTTAGTATTTTTCCTGTACCAAACTCATTCAATAAATATTTGAGATTAGGGGAAAGTTTGAAATCAGAAGATTCCAAAGTACACTCAAATAGTATTTGGCACATAGCTTGTGCTCAAAAGTATTTACTGAGTGAGTGACTAAAGGCACTAGCAACTTGAAGGATTTTTCATGTCACTATCATATGCATATAGCTATCAAGCCAGTTTCATTTAGTTATTTCATGTTGCCAAGCATATGATATATGGTGTCACACTGAGCCTTTGGGATCCTTTCCCTGGATACATACCCTAGTAGATAATGTTTTACTGCAAGATATAATGATCATATCCAACCTAGTGCAAATATTACTATAGAGATCTCAATGCAAAAGTGGCCTTTGTGATTTTTTTTTTTTTTACTTAAACCATTTCCATAACAGAATATTTAGAATTATTAGCCATTTGCCGCCAAGTATTTGTTTTAAAATGTCTGGCATATACACCACTAACATTTAAATGTGTAACATTCAGTCTATATTTGAAAAAACTAGAAGAAAAGCCCTGTTGGAGTGTTGATGTAGAGTGCAACGATACATCAATAAAGATTTTTTTAAATGACCTGATGTTTTAGTTGGCAATAAGATTTTTGTGAAGAGATACTGAGTTTTGGCATTTGTGTTTTGCCATATGAAAGATGTGTTCGTGTAAAAGGTAATGTGAAGCTAGTGTCTCTGTCCATCTGTCCCCTGTTTTCAAGTTCTCCTTGGATATTTGTGGCATCTGGATTTCTAAACTGGAATGGTGGCATTTATGTACAGACATGGATAATTCTCCAAAGCAGATCTTGCCACACTAGTTTTTCATGTAGTTGTCACCTAAATCGTTAGTAAAACGTGCCCATTCCAAATAATAGCAAATGTAGGAATTAGCATCCCAGAATAGGAAATTTGAAGAAAGTATTTTAAGACTTTACCTAAGGCGAAGTCTAAAATTTTATATATGTAGGTATTGTTTTGGTAGTCGTATATTTGCCTAAAAATAATAGGTTTAATTATTTCATAGGCATAAAGATGTTTTTACTAAAATCTTACATTAGACTGAAGACAGTGTTTTAGAGCCAGGGTTCATTCTAAGTTTTTATCCTGTATTATTTGCCTTTTGAAGGTGGCTGACTCTCCGGCACCCTGATCTGTGCTGATCTTTCGTTGCTCTTGGTGACTTGTACCACACTCAAATGTGAGCTCCTATTTCATTCTGTGGACTCTTCCTCTTTGGTCATACATGCATTCCATAGATACACATTGAATACCCACTTGTGAGATAATGGCTAGGCCCTTTGATGGATAATGAGTCCATAGGGTATATAATGGTCTCAATTATTACTGTACTGCAAGTCAGTTGGGATGGGCAAAGGTGAAAAATTAGACAAATAGGAAATTTTACCAAAAAGGCCCTTTGTATCAAGCCTTTTTTTTTTTTTTTTTTTTTTTTTTGAGATGGAGTTTTGCTCTTGTTACCCAGGCTGGAGTGCAATGGTGTGATCTCGGTTCACTGCAACCCCTGCCTCCCAGGTTTCAAGCGCCCGGCCTTGTATCAGGTATTTTTACAAGCAGGAGTGTGTGGGAGGGGTGACAAGTAGCAGGATAAAGGTTAATATAAAATAGTACAGATTAATTTAAGAATGCATACAGACAGCACTTTACGTTGTCCCCCTTCAACGTAATAAATGGGGAAATAATACTTTCACTTTAAAAATGTGCTACATCCTTTTGGGAAAAAGATGTTAACTTAATTTTGGCATGTGCTTGACATTTTGATATTAATTGGCAAGCATAGAAATGTTAATATTGGACAGTTACATCTTTTTCTAGGATAAGAATATATTTCTTAAGTGCTGCTTGTTTCTGTCAGCGATATTGGATAAGTGTAGAACTAGAAAAGCTCTTCTTAGAAGACTTGGTGTGTACTCAGGGAAAGTGACACAATACAGTCTACCTACCATTTTAGGGGCATAGATAATGGAGAGTGTTTAAAGACTTAAGAGTCTTCCTGTCCAATAAGGCAGTTCACTAAAATTGCAGGTACTTAATGGTTAATGTTCATTTCACACTTTTTTTCAGGAGAGTAGAGAAAAATCACAGGATGAAATCATAAGCATCTGTAAGTATTTTCAAGGGAAGTGATAGCCTAAGTATCTGTATTCAATTTTTTTTTTTCTGTGTTAAATTTTAATGTGTTTTTGTTTTGTTTGTTTTTGAGATGGAGTTTTGCTCTTGTTCCCCAGGCTGGAGTGCAGTAGGACAATGTCTGCTCACCGCAACCTCCACCTCCTGGGTTCAAGCAATTCTCCTGCCTCAGCCTCCTGAGTAGCTGGGATTACATGTGTGCACCAGCATGCCCGGCTAATTTTTATTTTTAATAGAGACAGGGTTTCACCATGTTGACCAGGCTGGTCTCGAACTCCTGACCTCAAGTGATCCTCCTGCCTCAGCCTCCCAAAGTGCTAGGAATACAGGCGTGAGCCACCACACCCAGCCTTAATGTGTTTTTTTAATTTAAAAAAACATAGCATATTTAGACCATCCAAAATTAATCTCCTAATATATCAAATGCTTAATAAGTGTTTAAAATTCCACTTGTCTCACTGTTTGGAATATTATTCTGGATATATTTCTATTGCTTATCAAATATGTGATGTATTTTGCTTTTTAGAATTTTTTGATGTATGCAGGAATTACCAAACTTTCTGTAAGGGACCAGATACTTTTTGGTTTGGTGAGCCATAAGGTTTCTATGACAACTATTTAACTCTGCTGTTGTGGCACAAAAACAGCCATAGACAATATGGAAATGGATTGTAAGCCTGTATTGTAATGTTTATTTACGAAATTAGGCAGCAAGCCAGTTTGCTGACCTCCAATCTATGGGTTCCCCTTCCCCCACACCTTGTCCCTGTAATACATACACTGAAGAATGATTTGCCTTCCTAACATCAACGAATTATTCCTTTCCAGAGTTACAAATCTTGAGTTGCAGAGATTTTAATGGCAAAATTTTAGCTGCAAAGGATAAATTACCTTACTATTTCAGCTTGAATTAAACAGTAAGATCTTAATAGGAATTTAGTTACACCATATCTCAGTACCCAAGGCATTTCTCTCTGCACACCCCCCCCCTCCAAAACACCCTGTTCCTAGATGAAAGAAATAAATAATACATCTTACTCCAAAATCACCAGAACTTCATGAGAGGAGACTTTCACTTGCTGATAGAAATAATTTGCTAATTTAGACCCTGTTGTTACCATATTATGTTAAAAGAGCCTTTCACTTTGAATCATGCTTCAACCTTGAGCACTGTAATATAGACTTTTTCTGTAGCCTTTCAAAACTTGGATATCTTTGATTAATGTCTACACTCATGAAAAAGGGTCAGTAAATAAGATTTGTCAGTGACC